TCGTCATACGAATGACGATTAAAAGCTTTCTCCAATGAACGCTGTACAATACACTCATTGACAACAGACAAACCTCTCGAAGTTTGCTCCTATATTTTTTCAAAGTATCTTACCAAATTGACAATAGTTACCTTTGACAGTATCACATACTTAATATGTTGCAAATGAAACACTTAAAACACGCTTAATATAATATATTATGTACATGTACACTCACCACCGAATGTGTATACCTTGCACAAAATCGCACATCTCATCTACTCTGTCCGTTTACTGCTCTATGCTTCCCAAACGTGTGAAGAAACCGCTCGGAAAACAGTGTTGCCAGGTGGACTTATTTATTTCCCCCTAGAAAGTGCTGCAAAAATACCAAATTAAAGAAGTATTACTTTGTTTAAAATATGAGGTATGGAAATTAAGAAAAACGAAAGTATTATTAATTGTTTATGATGATATGTATATTTTCCAATACCCAAATTTATAATATATGTATAACAACTATATGATATATAATATTATACACTTTATATTATAATTTGCATACACACACATTGTATACGTGTGTCTTAATTTTGTTATAAGGGGTTTCGCATTGTATACAAGGTATGAAACGTAAGAGGTATTTTGGTCTCACTTATTGTAATGACTGAAAAAGAGATAATCCTAAATCATTGTAAAACTTTTCTTCGACCAAAATCCTTGTTTTCAATACTTGTTTATTACTGTGATTCGTTCCTCTTCAACAAATGTGTTGCCTTCTACCAATCTTTGGTTGTGGCTGGTTGTAACAAATAACCGCCAAATTTCAAACGAGGAAATATATTGAAAAAATCTTACACGCCTATAAGTGTTTTTAATACGCTTAGATATATTTGAATACATGAACATACCTGAAAAATAAAAATAATAAAAACTCAACGAAAACTGCCAACAAAAAACCAAATAAATTTGCCCCCTGAAAATCCAACAAAGGTCTAAATTTAGGTGGTAAACCCCAAACCTGGCAACACTGTCGGGAAATAAATGTAACTTCATAATGTAACATGTAACTCACACACACATTTATGTCACACATTTATGTGTGTGTACATTTGTGTCACACATTTATGTGTGTGTGTGTGTATATATATATATATATATATATA